TGGATTGTATCTGCTGGACAGTAGGCTTTTGGGGGATTTGCCTTTTAAATCCAGGATTCCATCTGTTGGGATATAGTTGGTGAAACTGGGTTGCCTCCTAAGAAGTTTTCCAGTGTAGAGACAGGTTAATGTGAGCAGGAACAGGCTCAGACTATAATAATAATAAATTTTTCTCTGCTGCTCTCTAAAGGTAGAAGGGAAAGGAATGGATTCTGTGAGCAGTGAACAAGCTGCTACCTCACCATTGCTTTTAGCTTCTTTTTCCTGTGCTCACAGCTTTTTTTCATGCTCAGTGGCAAGTTCAGTGTGAAGCTTTCACCGAGCTTTTGAATGCCTTCAGCTGAAAACTTGTCCCACATCCCCCATGGAGGCCTTTTAGAAGAGCCAAACCTGTCTGGACAGTCACACAGATGCTTTGTCTGGACCTTTGTTTCTTCATAGTCTTCTCCCCTCCTAATTCCATCCTTACAGAGCTTTAGAGAGGGTCTTCCTTTGGAAACATCTCTGGAGCTCTTCTTTGGAAACTCATGAGTTACCAACCATCCATTTACCCTGCTGAATTAACAAGCAGATGTTTGGCTACAGCATTGGCCAAAGTAAAAGAAGTGGCAGTGAATAAAAGCACCATTTTCCAATAAGACCATCAGTAGCATGATGTAAAAATTGCCAAGTTTTGAGGAGAAACAGTTGTTGTCGTTTTTCTCTAGTAATTATTTCAGATGAGCAGAGTGGGTTTTCACTTCAAGTTCGTGGTTTCTAAGAGCATTCGTTTCCTTTGGGAATTTGTTTTATTAACAGCAGATTGTTTTTCATATTGTAGCATTTATGGGGAGAAATATGTAATTTTTATACACACTGACAAGCATATTATTAATAAAATACTGATAATAGCAGAGAGAAATCAGTTACCAAGTTCTAGAAGAAAAACTCAAACAAAAAAAGGGGTAATTGAAGAGCATGTTAAAATAGTGACCCAGACATGATCTCCAGAAGTGACCGGCTGTTGCCAGCTCCCTCTTTCATATCCTGCATGATGCCCACAGCCACTATATAGGTTTGCATTCAGTGTGTAATGATTTCTGTATGTGCAGTAATACCCAGTCAGGACTTTGTGCCATGGCGGTGGGACTGACTGTTGTATGGTTTCACTTTTCTCCCAGGAGGAGAGTAGCTGAACACAGTGAGTAGCATAGGTGGGGGCTTTTTAAATGGGGAGTGTTGTTGGACACGCGTGTTTCGATGGCTCCCTGAGGCCCTGTGGGTATCTGTACTTTAACTGAGGATGTTTTTCAGGACTCAGCCTGTCAGATCTCCTGTGGTGCCTGTTCTTCAGCCTCATGCCCTCTGCTTGCACTCCAGTGGTTTACCCAGGGAGATCACAGCAGGACTGTACCGTAAATCACACTGAGATGGAGTGCATGCATGTATTGAAGAGGAGAGGGGAGGGAGGAAGTTGGTCCTGCTTGCACACTTAATAGGAAACACTTCCAAGGGTATTCTGCTGGCCTAGCACAGCTCATGGCTAATGCACATTTGTTTTCCCACTTCCCACAGCAGTCTGCTTTGCTGGAAGGTCTCAGAGCACACATGACCATGCCTGTGAGATGGTGGCTGATACACTGCAGGCTTATGCAGTGACTCTCTTCCCATATGTTCTGGAGGATTCCCTGATGTATGGAAACCTTTGGCTGTTCCCCATACCTGTCACCTGGCTGTACCAAAATATGAACATTTGAAACCAACAACAACACCTGGTGTGAATTCACAGTGTATTAATGAGTTCTGCTCCATAGCTGCCACGTGGGTCCTCAGACACAGAGCTGAGAAAAGGCATCACTCATTGGCATGAAGCAAAACACTGTTTCTTTGCCCTTCTCTGCCTGTAAAACTGTCAGTGGATTGCTCAGTGCAGTGTTTAAAAGAACAACTTTCTCTAATTACAAGCAGACTCATAGTGGAAGTGCTATCTGGTAGCAGAAGCAAGGCATATGTGCAGAGAGGACACCTACATCTTTCTGGACGTTTTAATACTTCCTGCTAGTCAATAAGCGAATCTCTGTGCCTCTCAGTTTCCCCTGTGGAGACATAGAGTGAGGTGTTGTACGGCTTCATTTAAGCACCATCTGTGAGATGCTTTGAGATCCCTGGGATGAAGGGAAGGTAGTGATGGATGTGTGTACTGGCATTCCTAGAAATCAGACCTGTATGTTGGGGTGTGAGGAGGGATTTGCAATAGGCTGGGTTAGATTGTTAATGGCAATTTGCTTTAATTGCATTGTGGATTTGTTTGCATCAGCTTTATGCACAGTCTTGTTCCTTTCCTATTCATTTGGGGAACCCAGCAGGGAATGGTTGATTTCCTACATTCATACACAGTGGAGAATTTAAAAACTTGAAAGAATCAATAGTGCTTCAGTGGTTTCATGAAACTGACAATTTTTTTCATTGGCTTTATGAAACTGCTAGATTACACCAGATGGATTCATTTATCTCACTATGGCTTTATATATATATTTAGATGGCTCCCATCTCTGTGGGACTTGTGTGCCTCCCAAGTATTTTAAAATAGAAAAAAGCTGTTTCCTTCTCTGCCTTGCTTTGTATCTAGCCTGTAAGAGAAATAGCTTGATTATCTTATAGGGCTTGGATTTGTTGGGCTGGATACTAGCGTTCCCTGAATGTTTCTGTGTGAAGAAATGAAGCTGAGGAGAGAAGTTTTGCATTTACTTCTGAATGAACTGAGATCGGGGTTGTTTGTATCTCCATGAGGCAAAGTAAGTTCCATAGTGCAGAAATACTGCCTGGGAAGGATGAAACTCCCACGGTCTTGTCTGATCCCTTTGTCAATGGCTGCAGTGCTCCAGCAAGAGGAAGAACAGTATGAAGGGCTTTGAATATCACAGAAGAAGACCAAAGTCTGTACTTAGTGAGAAACCAGGCTGTTCTCCATTGCCAAGCAGACATCTGCTGTGTTTTACACGCCTGTGGTTTATTTCAAAGCATAGGGAGTTGCAGCAACGAAGCTTCAATACACAAATTCATGCATCAGTGTGTCCAGGTGTGCAATCCTCAGGATTGGATGCAACCTTCTGGCTAGGCCCACCAGGAAAAGGGCATTTCTGCTGACACTGTTCATCCAGGAACACCCTGAGGCTGTGGGACAGATGCAGGCAGCTGACTAAGCAACTCCCTTGCTGTTGGGATGTGAAGGAAATACTTAACACAAAACTGAGCAGAGGTAAATCTGCACAGTCCAGAACAGCAGGTCCTGAACGTGCCACCGGACACACAGATGGCAGCAGCAGCGTTGACTGTTTTAATGCAGCACCAGAATTTAACATGGGGTTAAGTTCCACCATGACACTGTGAGTGGGTGGCTTCTGGGGCAAGAGACCTCAGCAAAGAGTGTCCCAGTCACCTCTTGGGAACACGTGCATCACCTGATATGAGTTACTCCTGTAGCAGAGTTTAGAAGAGCCTTTTCCAACTCATCTACCACCAGCATCCACATGCCTCCAAACCACTATTAACCATTATTAGGAATTTCAGTTGCTATGTGTCCAGGCCTGCCCAGGCAAGCCTTCATCTTTCTGATCTGGGCAATGTGGTATGGAACGTACCAAGCTTGCCAGAGGCCGTGGAGACGTTTTTAGATTGATGCCACCAAATCCTCATTACCAGTGGCATTGCTGTGAGCTGGAATCCAGTCAGCTCAGATGTGCCTGTTAAGCGCTGACTTAACATTTTCCTCTTAGTCTTTTGGTCCATGTACTCAGCTCTCTTCCACCATCTTTTGTCTTCTTGCCTTTTCTGCCACAGGTGACTGGAGCACCCTGGGGTGGTGGTGGCTGGGGAGGTGCAGAGGGGAATTCTCTAAAGCAGACTTAGGGAGGGATGGAATATCACTGCCTCGACTCCACTCCTGTGCTTCTAGGCCGGGGCAGATGCTTGATGAGTCTGTTTCAACATGATGCCGCATGCTGAATGAAGAAATTAACATTTGCCTTAGTTAGCTGGATGTTCATTTGGTGCTTCCCTCACTCTGCTCCTCAGTCTAGGCACGCAGCCAGCTGCAGCGTGTAGATCTGAGCCCTCGCTGGTCTGTAACATGCTGCGGGAGATGCTGCACGTTTACAGAGCACAGATCATAGAATCATGGAACGGTTTGGGTTGGAAGGGACCTTTAAGCTCAACTCGTTCCACGCTTCTGCCAGGGGCAGGGACACCTTCCGCTAGACCAGGTTGCTCAACTTGGCTTGAACACTGCCAGGAGTGGGGAATCCTTCATAGCGCCCGAGCGCCAGTTTGCTGTTAGGAACCGAGCAGCTCGGCAGCAGCATGCGGCACAGACCTGCCTAGAACAGAGACACGCACAGCGGCTCAGGCCCCCCAGCAACCACCCCGCGCCGGCAGGTGCTGGGGGCGCAGCGGCTCCTCCCGGCCCTTGGCAGTAGTGGCCGCGCACCGCAGGATGTCACTGCGGAGCCGGCGCACGCTGCTGCCTTCAGCTGCATTCTGCAGCTTCCCCTCCCGTGCTGCCCGCCGCAGCCGCTGCCGCTGCAGCACCACCGCCGGCCCTCCCATCCGACCCCTGCCCTGGGGGCCGGCAGCGAGCGCGGGCAGAACCCGCTAGCGGGGTCCAGAACGTGATTCCCCCCTTTTAGCCTCCAAAGCAGCCCCTGCCTCTCGGGAAGGACATTCCCTCCCGCGTCCCGCCTGGGGGCCGAACGCCCGGAGCGGGGCAGACCGGGGGACCGCTGCCCCCCGCCGGGCCCGGACAAGGCCGGGCTGTGGGGCCCACGGAGCTCCCGCCGGCCCCAGGCTGCCTCCAGCCCCGGAGCATCGCGGAAGGAGGAGGGGGGCGAAAGCGGGTTTCACTTCCGCCTGGTTGCAGGAACCACAAGCCCCCAGAATATATTAGAATAATAATAACAGAAAGGTTCCCCACCAGCAGCCCTTGTTTTTGTGCCCCCCTGAAAAGAGAGGGTGGAGGGAGGAGGGGGAGAAAAAAAATAAAGGAGTCTCCCGGCAGGCAGAGCAATGTGGAGCTGGTGAGGACCGCGACCGGGCCGCCAGCATCCCGCCGGCAGCGCGGCCGCAGCCGGGAGGACGAGCGCACCCTCCCCAGCGCGGAAGAGGCCCGAGAGAAGGTCTGTCCTTTGCTTTTTTTACCTTGTGTGCCCGGCATGGCTCTGACCTGGGTGGAAAGGGAAAGGCAGGCGCCCTGCAACCTCCTACAGCCAGCCAGCCAGCGGCAGCAACAAAGCCCAGCCAGGGGGTCCCTGTGGGGCCGCAGGCTGGGAGGGACTGGGGAGAGCCCCTGAGCTACTTGTCAATTCCCCTGTTCCCCGTGACAGTTCCCAAATCTTGTGCCTCCAAAGCACCTCAAGCCCTCTCTTCCTGTTACCTAGGGGAGCTTGGTTGGTGTGAGGCTGCAGCGAGTATTGTCTGTATGGAAAACGCTCCTGCATGTGCCTGTGGTGATGCCTGGGCCTGGCTGCGGTGGGAGCACTGGGGTGCCACTGCTGGCATCACTGGCTGGAAGGCTCGGGGAGCTGGCAAGTGCAGGCAGGGAGGGTGCAAGGCCAAGCTGTCTGTGGGCTCCTTTTGGTGAGGCCCCAGAGAGCAGGCTCCTTCCCCTGTGAGCCAGGCTGAGTTCATTCCGAGGCCAGATGTACTTTAAGTGATCCCCCCTTCCAGTAGCTTGAGATCAGTTGCTTTTCATGGATTAAACATTCCCCAACTTTTGCCATGTCGTTATTTTTAATCCGAAGGCTCAGCGGGTTGGTCTTGACTGTCTTTGTGTGAGTCACTTCCAGACTCACAGGAGGAGAATCATTGGAATGGGCTCCCTCTGAAGCCAGTCACAACCTAAACCTGCTCCCGTTGCCAGCGACGTATCCCGTGTGACAAAACCCATCTGCCTAACCCTTCCTGTGTAGATCTGATGCCCTAGTTTGAGGGAACACCATCAAGCTGGCTGAGCAGTTTGAGAGATTGGCAGCGGTGAAATGGAGATGAGCACTGAACTTCTGCTGAAACAAGACAGCAGGTTACATGAGCCCCCTTCCCCTTGGCTCAGGTGCAAGTCCTCTTTGCCATTACTACTGTCACTTCAGTGCAGCATTTAGGTTTTGTCTTTTTGCAAACCCTGGGCACACTCAGATAATGTAAAAACTTTCAAGCAGCACAGTACTGAAAGGGGTCCCAGCTTAAGGGTGACTCACTGGCTGCTGGAACATACACCATCTTCAAGGCTTGGTTTAAAGAAGTGACTGCTCTAACACACTATTGTACCCTCACTTGTACATTGTTTTCTTCACAAAGGTAAAACTTGTGGTGTGTGTGTCTTCAAGTAATTCTTATTTGAGTGAAATTTGTCAGGATCAAATAGAAACCCAGCTTGCGATAAGTATATCTTAACTCAGAGAATAAATGCACTGGCTGCTGTTGATCTCTGGTATGTTTTAAAAGGCAGAGAGGCTGTTAGGGCTATTCCTTCCTAACTAGGAAGTGTTGATTCTGTTTATATTTATCTCCATTTGCCTTTTTGAATTTATGTTTGATGTCTGAGGGAGCTGAACACCCTGAACTCAAGAGTGCTTTTATGCCTCAAACCTGTATACTGGTAGCTGAGCCTGGTACTTTGGAAGTCTTGCCAGGACCCTGCTCCATTTAATAGTACTTTGATGTGTAGCAATGTATAAGGCAAGTGATTTGCTTAAGGCCACTGAAAGGCTGTAGAAAAAGGCCCCTGCCTATCACTGCCATGTGGCTGCACTTCCTCTTCCCATTGCTATTCCTTTCCTCTCCCCCTTTCTTGGCCAGCCACAAGCGTGATAGCTGGAGTTGTTTAGGAGCTACTTGCCCCCATTCCCTAACAATTTACAGACATTACCATCACAAGAGGGAAGGGAAAGTGCAAGTTGTTCAGTCCACATAGGTATCTTAGAGAAATGAAAGTATGGCACAGAAGAAATAAGGAGCAGTGGAACAATGCAGACTGAGCTGGTTTGTGAAAAAAGAAAACCCAAGGATTCCATCTGTCATCTTGCTCATTTCCTTCATGAAGTCTGCAGTATATTGAAGGCAATTTAAGAGTTCATTTGAATTAGGCTCCTGACTCACGTCTGAGAGGGTGAGGTGACTTCTCAGTGGTCCCACAGTTAGAGACTCGGCTGGCATCCAGCTGGTGTGTGAGGGTCTAGTGGTGTGGTTAGTTGCAAAGAGTTTTAATAATGGGCTGTAGAGAACAGTGGTCCTTTTGCCTGCAAATGTGCAGAGAAAGGGAAAGAATTTCCTTTCATCCTGCTTCCCTTTGAATAACTTCTTCTGATGTCCCTTCTGCCTGTGATGTGACTAGAATTTGTGGTGAAGACAGGACGTAACTATCGCTTCCCAGTTGGTTGGAGAGGAAAGTCCTGCTTTAATCTGGTTAGGTGGTTATGTAGATCTGCTGCTGCAACAGGGTAAGCAGGAGTGAAAACATGGTGAAGTCTAACTCAACTAACCATAAATCCTTTGTGTAAACCAAGCCTTTTGAGGGCAGTCATCACTTCAGACTCACATTCAACTGTGAGCATGGGGTTTATACCACATAAGCATCTGCCTCAACACAGAGGAGGGTGTGCCGTGGGTTGAGTAAGTAGTAAAATCTCACCTCTGATTATACTGTTCACTGCAAAGATGACAAAGTAAGTGAGAGGTGCTTTACCTGCTAACCAAATACAGTCCTGTAGGTAAAGTACAGCCTAGCTCTGAACAGTATGGCACAGGGAGACCCCAACCTGCCACAAGGCAGCAGTGATTCCCCCAAATACCTACCAGCAGTGGCAATGTTACTGGAATAGTATTGCATGGATTTCCCTTTTAAACTGGATTTAGTCTACAGAAGCCAAGGAAATCTGAATATTTATCTGCATTAGCAGAACAGCATTAAATCGCAAATCCTTAGCTGCCATAAATATTTATTGCTATCTTAGCTGGCTTCAAACTTCATCTCTGGCTGATTGCCATTCCTAAAGGTTATTTCAGGGAGGTTTTGCAGTGGACACACACACTGACACACCTCCAGATTTCATATTCCCTGATGTTTCTAAACAGATTGTCAGTAGCTGACAAAACAACTAAATGAAAACAGTCAGTGAAGAAAGTATGGGCCCCAGAATACCTTTGGGCATCAATAGATATCACTTTAAATCATCAGATCATAGCTATTCCAGTATGTGTAAGTACTCCCAGTCTCACAGTGCTCCCTAAGTGAGTGGTTTAAAATTGTCCTAGTGGAAGCCTTAGCCCTTCCGATAGAACAAGCTACTATCTCATTCTATTTTGAGATCCTATAGGATTTTTGATTCTGATTTTTCTCCCCAGTAGTCTTTCTTCCAGGTCATCACATTCGGGAAGGTTTCACTGTGGAACCAGTTGTCCATTGTCACAGGGTGCTGGTCTGTTGAGCACAGGCACGGTATGTGTACTATCTTCCTGGACACGTTGAGTCCATGGTGGGTGAAGTGTTTGGGGAGTGCACTGGAGGAGGTTTCTGAGTGTAAAGCTCTGCAGTGTGGATGCTGGCTGTTGTGGGTGTTTTGTGGGTAGTGCTATCATTCATCTTAGCTGAGCAATGTCAGCCTGCCTTCATTCTTGATGAGTGCCAAGGGTCATCTTAAGTACTATAAACATGTATTAGTATTTACTAAGGCTCTAGGTCCCAAATATACCCAGGGAAACTCACAGAATAATTCAGGATGGCAGTGACCTGTGGAGGTTTTCTAGTCCAACCTGCTGCTCAAAGCAGGACAATTTATGGCAGGTTACTGAGGACTTTGTTCAGTTAAATTAACAGTATCTCCAAAACTGGAGAGCCTACAGCCTCTCTGATGCCATCCTAGTGCTTGACATGAAAACACCAATACCTAATCAGAATTCCCCACGTTTCACCTTGGGTCTGCTACCTTTCACTGTATACCTTTTGGAGGAGTCTGGCTCCATATTTTGTATGCCTTCTTGTTAGATACAGGTATGTATATACAAACATAGATAGAGAATGAGGCTAGAAGAGATACGAAAGGGGCCTTTTTATAGATGCTGCTGGTTGCAGGTAGCTTTACAGTTTTATTCAGATTTTTTTTCTCTTGACTAGACCTTGTTGAGACAGGGTTTTGGAGGCAGTGGTAGTAGTAGTGCCAGAGCATATGTGGTACACTAAGATCTTCATATGGTTTGCTCTGATATGAAGTTAAGATTGGCACAGCTACAGCCTTGCAATGAACCTGCCACTGCCTCCTACATCCTGCCTCTGAATCCAGCATTATGTGACAGGCTGTGGACTGTGTTACAGGACTGGATTAAGTTCTGAATTACCTGTCTCCTTCCACCTGGGGTTTCTGTGAGCCTCTTGGAGTTTCAAGTGCTTGAAACCCATTTGTTGGGATGTTTTTCCCTTAAGAAATAAATTTGATTTTGGAATAGATCCATCCTGCAATATTCACACGGTGTAAGACATTTCCTGCCCTGTTCCTGCACTGTCCAAGCGTGCCCCAAGAGAAGTCACAGACCAGTGTGTCAGCAGTTTCCCTAACTTTAAACCTTGGATGCTATCAACTGGCAGCGTTTTCTGCAAGACAGCTTTTGACTGTGACCATCAAACACTGCAGAAGTGGTGTGTTTCTGTGGGAAAGGGAAGGTAAAGGTAAAGGTGTGGATCACCTGCTTTGGCCTTGCACATCACTAGCACCTCGAGAGCTTTGGAACATGTGTCAGTCAAAGCAGAGTAGGGATGAAACCATGTAGTAGATAAAACCTCCTGTGTATGCCAAATAATGCATGATGTCCCAGGCTAAATAGAATCATAGCATAGTTAGGATTGGAAAGGACTTTAAGATCATCCAGTTCCAACCCCCTTCCATGGGCAAGGACACCTTACAGTAAACCAGGGCACCCAAGGCTTCATCCAACCTGGCCTTGAACACCACCAGGGATGGAGCATTCACAACCTCCCTGGGCAACCCATTCCAGTGCCTCACCACCCTCACAGTAAGGTATTTCCTCCTTATATCCAACCTAAACTTCCCCTGTTTCAGTTTGAACCCATTACCCCTTGTCCTGTCACTACAGTCCCTAATGAAGAGTCCCTCCCCAGCATCCCTAT